AAAAATATGTCCCAAGCAAATTTTGTCCTGTATTTTTTATATGCTAAATTTGGCAACCCTAGGAATAAACAGATTTTTTTTTTTTTTTTAAAGCATTCTGTCTTGAGATGAGATCTGTGTCTGGCCCCCTTCAAGTTAGGAAATGTATCTTCCCCACTAGCCCCCTTCAAGTTAGGAAATGTATCTTCCCACTACTGACTTACCGGGCCTGGTGACGACTTTCCACTCTGTCTCCTGGAATTGGGTGTCTGGGAGGATGGACTGCGTGGAGATGAATTTTCAGCCTTCCGTTTGGCTGCCATGGCCAACAACCAGTTTTTATTTTCTGGGGAGCTATTTTCTTTACCTACCACTTCGGACCCTTCTCCACAAGGTCTCAAAGGAAGAGGCAGAGTTCCACAGCTTTCTGAAGTATAAGGACTGATAGGAGAAGGAGGCTCTGAGATACTTGTACTAGCTCCTTCAATCTTACTTGATTTGGTAGGACCTAGAGAGTCCTTACTAAGGTCTTCCTGGTTACCAGCAAGACAGCACAGATCCAAATGAAGATTTTCAACTTGGCCATCCAGCTCAGTCACACAGTTGCAACTCTTCACACACTTTTGTTTCACACTCTCCAGACAGCTTGAGTCTAGCCTCCTCTTTACTCTATTTCTAGACTCAGAGCAAGCCTCTGCTTGGGATGACTTCTGGCTCACAGGAATAAGGGCTTTTCTTGGAGACGCGATCTTGGTCTCAGAAGCAGGTGGAGTGATGGGTGGTGATGAGGAAGGTGTTCGGGTCACCCAGTTTTTAATTGACATCTTGAAAGATGAGGGTGGCTTGGGAGAGACAGAGGAGACAGAGCCTCTTCTGCTGATGGGAGACCGGGCCTTGGCAGGAGGGGTTTTAATAGAGAATGTGGGAGTATTTGAAGGAAGAGGGAGGTCTCCAGCACAGCTTGGAGTACAAGCTGCGGATGATGGGGAAGAAATGGATGGACTGCTCTTTACCCTGGGGGCTTTGGCAGGAGTACTCTGGCTACTCGTTACTGTTACTGAAAAAGAAGAGAGGATCATGAAAATCAGAAGTGAAAGCCATAGAAAGTGCCTAAATTCTCATCAAGGAAAATCATAGCTAACTTAATAATTCAAGGGTCAATTTGTCAGTAAGTACATTATAGAACTCATTTGATTCCTACCACACCCTTTCAGCATTTTCCTTTTTCTTTCCTAACTGCCGGCCTCCCACTACCCCACTGTAAAACATGTACTTGTAAAAATCTAGAAAATACATAAAAATATATATTAACCAGTTAAAGCCTCTTACTAGGAACCAAAGAGGTGACAATTACCGTCCTCTTTGAAATAAATAAGTCAGCCTCCCCAATTTATAAACAAGATAGGTATTCAAATGGTGGCTGCGACACTCTTCTGAAGGTCTATATTGTCATACAGATAAAGAAAAACAATTTTTAAAAATTTTAGCTTCAAAGAAATTATAAGACCAGCACACTATTCCTACTTTTAAAGCTTTTAAGATTTGCATATTGGTGGAAATAATTTTTCATTGAAATTATTTTTCTGCTAACACATAGTTAAGACCAGCCCTCCCTGAAAAAAACAGAGATTTTGGTTAGGGGCAAAGAGCAGTCATAATTTTGAGAAAAGAAAGGAAAGAGTCTTTATAGTTTTTTCTTCCCTTTTTTTTTTTTTTAACTTTCTGTAGCAAAGTCTTGGTTGGA